GGTAGTTGGCTAACGGCAGTGATTAGCAATAGTAACAAGGACAATTTTTATAGTCCTGTATAGTTTCACGAAGTACTTTCATATATATGATCTCATTTCAATTTTTCAACAAACAGTATTGCATAGATTATTAAACCCATTTTACAGATGAATACAATTTAGGCTGGGCAGTTAATTGACTCATGGGAAGTCCCCAGCCTCTACGAGGTCATTTTGTTGCAGATGGCATACCCTTTTCACTAATACTGCTGCCTCTTAGAGGCTCCACCTAGTATGTGTGTGTGTACATGACTGTGAATGTGTGAGTGTATGTGTGAGTGTGTACGTGTGTGTTTAAGGAGGATCAGTAGGTAAGAAGGGAGGTAAGCAGAGTCCGAGAGGAAGAACACTTTCTGAACTTACTTGGCAGGAACAGCTTCCATTTCCTTCCATGCCTTCGTCACAACTGCCTCTGCCACTGCAGGGGGACACGGCTCCTCCTGGGCACTCTAGGGAACCAAACAGCTCAGATGTATTCATTCATGACTGCACACAAGCATTCTGCAAGGATGGATTAAGCACCTTCTATGTGCCAGTTGGAGCCCTGGTGGTTCAGTGGTTAAGAGCTTGGCTGCCAGCTGAAAGGTCGGCAGTTCTAATCCACCAGCCTCTCCCTGGAAACACTATGGGGAAGTTCTATTCTGACCTATAGGGTCGCTATGAGTTGGAATCAACGCAACAGCAACAGGTTTTGTATATGCCAGTTGGGAGTCTGGGTGGTGCAAGCAATTTGCAATCTGCTGCTAACCTAAAAGTTGGTCGTTTAAACCCACCCAGCAGCTCTTCGGAAGAAAGGTCTTGTGAACTGCTTCCGTACAGGTTACAGCCAAGAAAACCTTATGGAGCAGGTCTGCTCTGCACACATGGGGCTGCCATGAGTCAGCTCCAACTCAGAGGCGACTAACAACAGCAACAACTTATGCCAGTTAGGGGTCCCTGGGTGGCGCAAATGGTTAACGTGCAACCGAAAGGGTGGAGGTTCGGGTCCACCCAGAGATGTCTCGGCAGAAAGGTGTGGTGATTTACTTATAAAAAGTCAGCCAATGAAAACCCTATGGAGCACAGTTCTACTCTGACACACGTGGGGTTGCCATGAGTCAGAGTCGGCTCGATGGGCAACTGCTTACTGGTTTTATATGCCAGTTAGTGTGCTAGTCTTCAGGGATAAAAAAGAATAATTGAAGACTCTGTTGGTTTCATCTAGGGTATTGTAAGGGAGGCAGACGTGTAGACAGGTGAATCCCAACGTAGTTGGGCACTATAATAGGAGGCATCAGGCTATCATTTTTTGAGCACTTGCTATACACTTACCAACTATCTAATTTAAATCATTCCCATCATAATCCTTAGGGATTGCTATTTTTCAAGGCAAATAAAATTTGTTTATAAATAATTATGATGCAAAATAGAGAAGAATTAAGCAATGGAATTGTGTAGACAACATTATCTATTCCCAAATTTCCAAGGAAATAAAGCGAACCACAGGAAAATGAAAAGGTTTGCCCAAGATACTTTCATTACTCAGTTGCACATATGAGAATTGGCAACCCAAATGGCACAGTCCTCAGTGTAGTATTTGCTCCTAGAGGTGGTGTACCACTTGCATAGCTCTTAAAACAGGGAACATATTGAAATGTCTTAATAAAATGTTGCCTAGTTGTGCGGAAAGGCAACTACTGCCACATGGAGTGATTTTGTAAACAGACAGGAATTTTTTTTTATTAAAAAATTTTGTTGTGTTTTAAGTGAAAGTTTACTGCGCAAATTAGTTTTTCATTCAAAAATTTACACATAAATTGTTTTGTGACATTGGTTGCAATCCCTGCAATATGTCAGCACTCTGCTCCTTTCCCTTTCCACCCTGGGTTCCCTGTGTCCATTCGTCCAGGTTTTCTGTCCCTTCCTTCCTTCTTGTCTTTGCTTTTGGGCAGGTGTTGCCCATTTGGTCTCATATACTTGATTGAACTAAGAAGCACATTTCTCAGGTGTGTTGTTTGTTTTATAGCCCTGTCTAATGTTTGGCTGAAAGGTAGGCTTCAGGAGTGGCTTCACTTCTGAGTTAGCAGGGTATCCAGCCATAGTCTCGGGGGTTTCTCCAGTTTCTGTCAGACCAGTAAGTCTGGTCTTTTTTGTGAGTTTGAATTTTGTTAGAGATTGCTATTGATGCTGGTTAGCAGATGAGTAGACTGAAATTCAGAGAGGTCATGTAACTTGTTCAAGGTCTCCGTTTATACTTTGCAAAGCTGGGAATTAACTCGGCCCTTACTATCACTCCAAAGCCAGTGCGCTCTACAGGGTATTAAGGTGGCCCAGAGAAGGAAGCCATTGATTCTACCTTGAGAAGTCTGGGGAGACATCCATATGGAAGAATCATTTAAGCAGGGTTTTGAAGGCTCAGTAGGAGTTAGCCATGGTTAAAAGGGAAGGGCACTTTGGGAAGAGGGAACAGCGAGTACAAAATCTCTGAGCTGTGAAAGGGTATGGTCTGATCTGAGAATGATAAAAAGTGTGCTAAGGCTGGGGCTGGGGAGGTGGGGTGTGGGAGAGGGGGCGATTGATGAGGTACAAGAGGTCATTTGGGACCGATTAGTGAAGTGCTTCTTATGGCAAGTGGAAGAATTCAGATTTCACTCGAAAGCTAATTCTAAATAGGCAGGGATTCTGCACTTCTGGGCTGTGCTAGATCTGAATTAGAGCTTTTATAGACAATTATTAGAGCACTTCACAGTCATTTACTAAACATGTAGGTAGGACCTACTATGTGCCAAGCATTCTATTAAATGCTGGGGCACAGGGACGTTTAGTTAGAAAGCCAGATATTATAATGCCCAAAACCAAATAGAAAACTTAAAATAATGGTAAGTGACAGAAGTTTACAGTACTACTGCGATGGAGATGAAAAATATTTCTAGTTTGTAATATTCTGTTGTTTTACACTTTCAGTGCTGAATTGACATGGGCTTGATGACAAAACTTGGGTAAGTTCTGACTTTTTTAGACAAGGGATCTGGACCTGCAGGCACCAAACAGAAATCATGCAATTGCCACAAAATGGGTTTGTGCGAATCAGGCAGGAAAAAGTGCTCTCCTAGATTTAAATTAGCAAGGCAAGTGTCTTCCACATCCCAGCTCATGACATAGAGTTCTAGATAATAATAAAGGCTACCTGACCCAAGCCACGGTGTTTTCAATTGACTCATATGCGTGCAAAAGCTGGAAAATGAATAAGGAAGGTCGAAGAAGAATTGATGCCTTTGAATTGTGGTATTGGCTAAGAATATTGAATATACCATGGACTGCCAAAAGAACAAACAAATCTGTCTTGGAAGAAGTATAACCAGAATGTTCCTTAGAAGCAGGGATGGCGAGACTATGTCTCACATTCTTTTGACATGTTATCAGGAGGGGTCAATCCCTGGAGAAGAACATCATGCTTGGTAGAGGACCAGTGAAAAAGAGGAAGACCCTCAACGAGATGGACTGATATAGTGGCTGCAACAA